TTCAAGTCCATAAAGAGTCCCAAGATAGGCAGATAATGTAGCAGGCTGCTGAAGAATGACTCGGTTACACATAGGATTCAAGAGAGCCAAAAACTACAAAACATTCCTAAAGCTTCTCATATACTGGGAGCAGACCACATCCCTAAGGCAGCTACTCAGCTGCTCCAGTAGCTTCCACCATGGAGTTGATTACCAGCCTCATAATGGGGAATACTACATCTAGCTGCCCAGCCACTCAAACCCAGGCCCAGCCAAGTTGACACATAACCTTATCTACCACAGCAAAGAATAGCGAATGTACCAGGTCTGCCAGAAGAATGAACAAGTCTGCCTTGGAGGAAGTACAGCCAGAACATTATTAAAAAAGAGAATGGCCAGACTTCATTTCTCATACTTCGGTCATGTTGTCAGAAGGGACCAGTCCCTAGAGAAGGATTTCACACTACATAAAGCAAAACAGGGGATGACCTTTCAACAAGATGGACTGACACAGTGGCTGCAATGATGGGCTCAAGCACAGCAAGAACTGTGAGGGTAGCACAGGACCGGGAAATGTTTCATTCTGTTGCACAGAGTCTCTGTGAGCTGGAACCAACTTGACCTAACAACAACAGTTGCTATGGTTCTTGTTCTTCTATGGGTAGCTATGTGTATATGTGTGTGTATGTCTTGTTGTATTCCTCAAGAAGCTCATAAAAGTTTCCATTTATCCCAGAAACTCAGAACTTTCACAGTGTGTTTCTTTATAGATCATATTTTATTAATTTTTGCTCGATATTCAGTGAATTCTTTCATTCTTGTACTTAACTTTTAAGTTCCTTTAAAATAGTTGATATTTTCTCCTTTTTTTAAAATTTTTCTGGACCTCCAAAACTGATTCTCCATGACATCTTTGTTTTTATCATATTTTCCATCTCTTTATTCTACTTTCTAAGAGGTTGTCTCAACATTATCTTCCATCTTTACAGGTGATTTTTTTTTTTTTAATTGCAGAAGCCATACTTTAAATGTTTTGTTATTTGTTCATTTTATAGAGGTTCCTGTTTTATGAATGCAGTAGATACTCAAATTTTTCTGAAAATTATTAAAAAAAGAAATCAAACCTGCTCTCTTGTTCTTTTTTTTTTTTTTTTTTTTTTTTGGGGGGGGGGGGGGGGTTTTTTTTTTTTTTTTTTTTTGGTGGCAGGGAGGAGGCCATTTTTTCTGTTTATTCAATTTATTTTCTCTTTTATTTTTCAGGTTTTCCTTAAATGTCTGGTAATCTTTAGTTGTTCATATTTAAGAATCAGTCAATGAAAAGATGACACATAATTGTCATAGAGGCACTGGAGTCCTCATTATCTTCTCAGTAGTTACCATTTCAGCTCATGCTGGCATGTTTCCAACTGGATTTGAGTGTAACAGTTCATAGCAACTTTTCAATTTAGGATACCTTAATATTCAATATTAAGACTGCACATTTACAGAAGCATTTATCTCAAGGGGATGGCTCCTAGACCCCTTACAAGTTATTCTGTATTTGGAAATGGTCTGTGGTTATGATAAAACTGAGGCATCAAGGTATGAAAGGCTAGTAGGCTGAACAAACTGCTTAGAACTTAGGAGTTCTGATTCTTATTGCCTATCACCTAAGAAGATATAAACAATCAAAAGGGGGAGGGGTGGAAGAAAAGAAATTTCAGGCTGTATAAATGAAATGAAATGCTACCAATTTGAGAAGAAAAGTTGACTTATAAGGGAGACAAAAGATTTCTCTAAACGATCAGTTATTTTAAAACTATATTCTTTTCTTGAAGTAGTCTCTCTTTTCTAGTGGTAGACATTTTTAGAGAAAATTGAAAAAGAGAGCATTGGATCAGCAGCTCATTTTATGAAAATCCTTGACACATAGAGGCAAGTCATTCTTGCCAAAAGTAAAAACACAGCAGATGAGTATTCGGGTTTCCCATTCAGATTTCAAACTCACTTTGAGCTTTTGTTTTTGTTTTTTTAATAATACATTTTATTGGAATTTAATTTATGTACAGTGAAATACACGAAACTAAGTGACATGGGTCAATGTTTTTTTTTTTTTTTTCTTTTTTTGCAGTGTTCCCTCTCCTCCCCACATACTCCTGGTAACCAACAAAGAAAGTTTCCTTTCACATATAAGACTTTCCTTGACTCTGAGCTATCTATAATGCAGGAAAATAGAAAGTACTTTTTAACTTTGGGGTCTCCTAACACCACAAATAAAACTGGTGGTAGGGGTAGCTCCAGAACTTTTTTTAAAAAAAGACTTAAATTATACCAGTCATCATTCAGCTAAAAATAATCAGTCAAGCTTAAGTATCCTGGCATTTATAGGAACAAAGAAAATTTCTATTGTCACTGTTCTCAGCAAACAGAAGATATTTCTTCACTTTCTACACAGAAACTAAAACTAAATAAATAAATAAACCCATTAACATAAAGGGATACCCCTGGCATTAATTCAATTCTGCCAAGAGGCCCAGAAGTAATCAATAAACACTTATTAACTAATCATACGGCACCTCTGCTTCTGTGAGTGAAATGGTGAGTGCTGTACTTTTCCAGGAAACAAACTTTGATAAAGAGGAAAACGTAGGGGAATGAAGAAAAAGTCATGATGAATGACTAGTTTTACATCAAATTTTGACAGATTTCTTCTTTCCTAACCTTGTTGGGACCATCTAAGTAGGGAAAACAAAAACATCAATGTTAATGTATCTCAATCATATTTTACTATTCTCTCAATAGTTGCCTTTAAGCTCTGGTGGTGCAGTGCCTAAGGCATTTGACTGCTAACCAGAAGGTTGGTGGTTCAAACCCACCAGCCACTCCACAAAAGGACGATTGGGCAATCTATTTCTGTAAAGATTTACTGCTTCAGAAACGTAATGGGGGGTGCTATGAGTCAGAATCAACTCAATGGCAGTGGGGTTTTTTTTGGTTTAATAGTTGCCTTGTATTTTTCATTGTTTATAATAGAGCTTTGGAAATTTCTCACCACTCTCAATCAACCTTTATAAAATCATTAGCAAAAAGCAAGTGCAAAGTACCCAGTTTGAATCTATAAACTTAAAATTCAATTAAAGAAGTAAAGAAATTAACTGATGTCTATGGCCTGTATTATTCAGTAAAATAACTGTCACTTCTTCATTCACTTTACCTTGTCAAGTGCTGGGGGGGGGGCAGGTGCATGGGGAGAAGGAGAAAGATGATCTAGGCTGTCAGGTTCTTTGAAGGTTAAAAAGGATGAGCACTCAAACAGCTTTCTTCAGTTGAGGTCCAAAAACTCTTATATGCATATTTGAATTTGTAGTATATGAGTACGTCAACGTTCACACTAGCAAGGGTCCCAAGGGAAAACCTAGATTTATGGTTGCTATTGTTGAGTGCCAGTCAAGTGAATTCTGACCCTATATAAGACAGAGCAGAACTTCCCCATGGAGTTTCCTAGGCTGTACATAATCTTTATGGGAGTCTTCTCCCTTGTCACTGAACTTTCAGTTAACAGCCAAGTGCTTAACCGTTGTTCCACCAAAGCATAACAACCTCATTGTCATTGAGTCAATTCCAATGCATAGTGACCCCCACTGGGTTTCCAAGGCTATTAATCTTTACAGAAGTAGATTGCCCTATATTCCTTTTTGGAGAGGCTGGTGGGTTTGAACTGCTGACCTTCCGGTTAGCAGCCAAATGCCTCATCTACTATGCCAAGGCCTAGGGAACAGAATTTACCTTCTTGTAAAAGGGGGACAGAGTATAAAGAGCAATAATTGCTTTGTTTGTCTGTCTCCATGATCACAGTAACTAGAGACTGTGTGAGAACACTTGCAGTTTGAAAGCAAGACTCAGAAACTATGGAGTCCTTGAGAATGCTGGATATCAACACGTTATTGGGTATGAAATCTAGAAGGCAATCCTGGAAGACCCCAACAAGGGCCACCAGTTCTGTTCATCAAAGACTACTAATTGCCTAATAGTGACATCTCAAAGGTGGCGTAACCCAAAACTGCATTTATTTATTTATTTCACGTTGGCTAGCTGATGGCAACACTGGAGAGCTAGTTGCCACAATACAAATCTGGCACTTATGCTACACGCCCCTCTCCTTCCCTCACATGCATGTCCTGGAACTGTACCATGTTCATATTCAACTTGTCCATCTTGATCCCTTCTGCTGCACTCCCATTTCTTGTTGCTCGGATTCCTGCCAGAGCTTCCAACAACCTGGTCTTCATGCCTCTACTAGGCACTTCTTCCATTTTTCAGTCCTCACTATTGTACAATGAGGAGTTCTGGTAGCATAGTGCCCAAGACATTTGACTGCTAACTAGAAGGCTGGTGGTTCAAACCTACCAGCCACCCCTCAGAAGGAAGGTTAGGTAATCTACTTCCATAGTGATACCACCTTGGAAACCCAAGGAGGGGTCACTATGAGTCGGGTTTGGCTTGACGGCAGTGAGTTTGGTTTTTTAGTTTTATTGTCCAATGATCTGATTGTTTAGAAATGTGATCATGTCACTTCCTTATTTAAAATCCTTCAGGCATGCCCAATGATTCTAGATGTATATATTTGATCAATTTTAACTAAGTGATTTTTTCCAGTCAAAGTAACACAGATTCAAGTTTTAAAATAGTTCCAGAGGGCATACAATGAAATATAAGTTTTTTATTTATCCAAGAACCCCTGGTTCCTACTCCCGAACATCAGCCAATGAAAACTCAATCCACAACAAATCATGGGACAGGTGCGGGACTCGGCAGCATTTTGTTCAGTTGTGCATGGGGCCAACTCAACAACAGCTAACAACATATATCACAAAATTTTTTTTCTATGAGGAAAGAACAAATTTTACATAAATACTTTTTACCTAGTTTATATTGAAGATTATATCTTAACACATAGATCTATTTTGCTCCTTTTAACATTTGTTTAATATTCAGTTTAAAGTGTAAACCATAAGTTACTTAACTAGTACTTTTCTGAAAAAGCTCTGGTTGTGCAGTGGTTAAGGCATTTGGCTGCTAACCAAAAGGTCAGTGGTTCAAACCCACTCCAGTGCTCCATGGAAGGACGATGAGGCAGTCTGCTTCCTTAAAGATTTACAGCCTTGGAAACCCAAGAGGGCTTGCTATGAGTCAGAATAGACTCTATAGCAGTGAGTTTGGTTTTTGGTGAGTACTTTTCTGTGGACATTTATGTTGCTTTCTAGTCCTTTGCTTTCCGGAAGGAAAAAAAAAAAAAAAAGCTTTGTCTCTGCAGACAAAGGCTTTTATGATCTTCCGGCTGGCTGTACACTTTGCCTCATTTCCCCAGATGCACTCTTCCCTCCAGCCACAACAAGCTATTTGCAATTCCCAAAACTCTGTCCTGCTAGGCTACATCTGCCTCTAATCGCCTTCCTGCCCTGCTTTGTCTGGCCACCTCCCACTAATCTTTCGAAAATATTCAAATCATTTTCTAATTGTGATGCCTCCCTTCTATATACTCCCTTGATTCTTGTGCTAAACATTGCTCTGTGGGTTCTGGAAATAATTGCTATACCTACTACCAGCACTTAAAACAGAAGATGGATGAAGGTAGGAATAAAACATCAAATAGTAGAGACTACTGCATTAAAAATAAGGTGAGATAAGGCCTACAAGAGTCTGAATGAAAATCAACATCACACTCTATGGCATTGCCTCGCTCACCAGCAATATACACAGCACCTGAGTGACCGAGGGTGCTGAAGGATGCGAGCAAGACAACATGCTCATGGGAAGAAACCATCAACACAAGACAGCACGGGCTAAGTAAGTATTGTATATTGCAAATACCACAAGTGACCAAGTCAAAGACAGAATGCTAGGGTCTAGGGTTGTCTGTCAGCAATGATTTCAAAGAGTAGTAGGACTGAATTGAACCTTGAAGAAGGAAGCAAACTCAGAGGACCCTCAGGGTAGAAAGAATGTTATAAGCAAACACCTGGAGGGCATGATGTTAACCAATTAGGCTTGAGTGAGGGAAGTTTGTACAAGCAGTCAGCTGGGTTACAAATGAGATCCATTCCTAACTGTCTCCTTAAGTTGAGTTTGTAGGTAATTCAGGCAGATGCATACAGTTCTCACTTAGCCTTAATTAAGTGCAAAAAAAAAAGTCTCAGACTTTTCAATGACTTCAAAACTGCACATGCAGCAAGTGAAGATTGTGGTGAAGAATTTATTGTGAGCAAGGGCTGATTCAATCCTTTCAAAGTGAAGGCAAATTTACGTAATATTAAAGCGCAAGAACAAGTTGTCAGTAAGTCATACATTCGTAACCCTGGGACTTAACTATGCAGATAAGCAGGCAGATAGAAAGAGGACTGAATTGATGAGACTCTTAAGCTCTAGGCTTATTTCCTTCATAAATTTATTCAATAAATATTTATTGAGCACCCACTGTTCTGAACACTGATGACAAAGGTGTGAAGAAAATAAATATCCTGACCTCATGGAGTTTGCATTCCAGGTGTTCTACCACTAATTCCCAGTGTAACCCTGAGCAAATCACCTCACTACTCTAGTTCTTACGCCTAATTTATAGCATATGGGCCTTCAAAAAAAAAAACAATTCACTGCCTTCCAGTCAGATCCAACCCACATAGCAACCCCTCCTTGGGTTTCCAAGGCAGTATCACTACAGAAGTAGATTACCCAATCTTCCTTCTGAGGAGTGGCTGGTGGAGTTTGAACTGCCAGTCTTCTGGTTAGCAGTCAAATGCATTTCTAAATTCACTCTTTTCTCAAATATTCTAAAATGAAGAGGAAAAAAGTAGAACCAGATCATATCAAGCTAAGGACCCTGGACTCCCTTATCTAGGCAGTAGAAAGCATTTGTTGATTTGGGAATGGAAAACACTTCCAATATGGAAATTTAGGAAGATTGAGCTGACAGACTGATGACAGAAAAGAAAACTGAAGGTCTGGCACAACTTAGGAATTAACCTTAATAAGATGATAAGGTCCCATCCTAAGAATCCAAATCATGAATAAATAACACTAATTTGATAAATCATAAATAAGTTAATTGTTACTAAAATCCTGGCTCGAGTAAATAGCTAATTACAAAGGCTTCACTGTCACAATACTGAGTAAGATAGGTGAAACTGGGGGGAAGTTTTGCAGGCTAAATATGTTTTAGTGATTGATTTATTTTACTCAGCACAATGTTTTTAAGACTCATTCATGTTTTAGTGTGTATCAGGACTTCACCTCTTTTTAAGGCTGAGTAAAATTCCATTGTATATATATGCCATATTTTGTTTATCCATTCACTTTGACATACCTTTAAGGTGTTTCTACCTTTTGGCTATTGTGAACATGTGAACATGTGTACATGTGCCAACTAAGACATTTTTGGATCTCTGTATAAGGTGGGCTTAAGTGTACCTGTGCCATTGCAAAGGCCCCAAGGGAATGTCCCACGTGCCAGAGAGATACCATACAGCCTGTACCAGCTGCAAAACATTACCCAGGGTATGTCTTGGCAACATGTGTAAATATGGGTGGCTATATTTTGGAAGATGAATGAAGCGCCACTAGTGTGAACTGTCTCCCTTGGCATTCTGATAATAGTACAGCATGTAGAATTTGCTATCTTTAGCCCTCTCTAGAGAAAATTCTAGAGTACTTATCACCCTAGTAGTTAATCGCTCAGCCATCTCTAGTTCAGCCTTCCCCATGGCTAAAAGAACTTCAGAAGTCACTCAAAGATAAATGTTCCTGCCAGAAAGTGTTTTAAAATAGATTGTTGCACTGGTTTCCCTGGAGCGGGTAATAGGCATTTACTTAACTACTCTATCCCCAGTCCCACCTCCTGCCTCTAAGAACAGGCTCTCTGGTCAGTCCCCTTTGCTAAGCCTGCAACTCTAGGAGCCCCTTCACATCCTTCTTTAGGGAGAGAAGGCACTAATTTAGATATTGGAGTAGAGTTAAATGACTCAATTTTAGTTCCACTCCTTGACTTATGGATTCCATTATCCATTTCCAATTGGGTGAAAAACAAACAAACTAACAAACAAATTTAAAAGACTGATGAAATCTAGGGTGGTGGGACAGTTTAAGCCAAAGCCAAGTAAACTGTTAACAGAATAATGACAAAGGCAAAAAGGAACATCGTATGAGAAAAAATGCCCTCTTACATTGCCTATTCTGTCCCAATTCCCCAAACACGGACCTTCACTTCCATTCCTAGACTGTGGGAAGAAACAGCCACATGACTTCAATAGCCAACTATCATTTCCATCCTTATTTCACAATATGACATCAGCAAGTTTTCAAATTATTTTTTTATTTTTTTATTGTGATTTGGGTGATTTACAGAGCAAATTCACTTTCCATAAAGCAGTTCACATACACTTTGTCTGATGACATTGACCACAGTTTACCACAATGCAACAGCTCCCCTCCCACTTCCTCCCCATAGTTACCTCTTCCCAGTGTCCATCCCTCCATGCACT